CGGTGGATAGATCTTTTGAGAGATCCGTCATCACGTCTACTAAGGCACACATCAAGAAAGGGGATACTTTGTTCGGATTCCTTTTCTGCGGTGAATTGTAACGAAGGATGGCAGTTGTTGAAAGTAAACAGGACATCATCAAGAATTACATTTTTATCGCAGATAACGAAAGTGTCGTCTACGTATCGTTTATAAATGTCAAAATGATCGATGGTTTGACTAAGTTGAGAATTTTCAAGCTTAGCCATAAAATAATCAGCCAACAAGGGGCCCAGTGGTGATCCCATGGCAATGCCGTCTCTCTGTCTAAAGATCTCATTATTGAAGGTGAACTGAACATTCAACGTGCATCTCAATAAAAGCTCTTTGAGGTAGATGGTCGGCAGTCCTATTTCTAAACTATGTGTATCAATATAATTCCCTCACCGGATAAAATTTTTAAAAAAAACAATATATATACGATTGTACAGCTTGATAATAAATTCGTTGAAAAGAGTCTCTTCGCTGAATATTGTGTTCTTAATGCTACAATGGGAATTATTAAATTATTGAAAAAATATGATACTTCTTAAAAGTGTGGCACTAGCTCATCCTAATTTGTGTGGCTATGTGTTAGTGAGTGCGTACTGATTAACAAGTTTTCCTCGGAACTATTCATTTTCCTGGGGTCCGAAAATCTCTACACTTAGCTGAACTTCGATCTCCCAATAAGTGACATTAAGCCGATATGCTGGTCTCATGTGTCTGATCATAACCTCTTGATATTTATGTCCCAGAACATCCTCTCTTTTGAGTTACCACCGAACTTCCTAGCTCGAAAATTCTTTTTAGTTAAAGTCACATTGATGTGTCATTCCTTAGCAAGCTGTCATGTATCATCTCTTGAAGAACCTCACAAAAACTTACTAATACGAAACGTTTTAATATGACAGCAGTTAACACCTTCGTCAGTATTCGATTTATTCAATTTCGAAGATTGTCTGTGAAAGCCATCACCATTCTCTAGAATCCTCCTCGATCAAAAGCGTTCGTGAGGCATTCATCTACATAACCCACTGTATAGCAGTAAGAGGTGGTTTTCTTGAAATCATAGTGAACCTGTGAATAAAACAAAAGAAGTACACGGTGAAAATAATGAAGAAGCCTATACGTATTCAGCGTATTTATTCAGAGTTTGGGACCAAAAGATATAAATTCTCTTTCCTGTCAATCCAGTGAATCCACCTTGTTCCAGTGATTTGTGGGCTTCATTGAGATTCAAGCTAAATCATTTGTAATAACTCAATTTGAAACTATAGTTTTGTGAAAAAAAATAATGAAAAATTGTGGTATTAGTTATTGATCCATGCCACTTTATTATTTATTGAAGTGACTATTCATGTACAAATGTCAATTAAGCTGAAAAAATGTGTTTCATTTCGAAAACAAATAGTCGTATTAGTTGTTTTTCAACTGAAATATGTGTGTACTTTGAAACTAACATCAAAGTGACGGGGAGAGATAACATGACACTTTTTTTCTGATTAATATAGTTTTAGTTTAACCACAAAATAAATTTGCACCATAATCTTTAGACTCACAGTTATATTCTCGTGTTAAATAAACAGTTTTGAGTGGTTATCTTTTATGAAAAGTATTTTGTTAGATTGAAATGATACGTGTTAGAATGGTTAAACAATTAATGCCATGGCTGAGTTGATATTCAAAATCATTTTCCTTCATATTCATTTCTGTTCAATAATGATCGTCTCTTCAAAAAATTATATTATTACCATAAGGTGTAACCGAAGTCTACGAGTTCTTATTTAGTGTACAAAAACTTGGATGAGTAAAATATGAGTTCCTTCTTGGTGCTACAACTAGATGTATTCAAGAACATCGAATTCGTGCGTCAGTTACTTCCGCGTTCTTGTCGCATTTAAAAAACATAGTCGAATACAGGAACTTTGTGATGTATTACATGCCTTTTGAACTGTACTCGAATCGGCGTAAAAAAATACCACTAGAGGTACGGATCTTAGTCTGAGTGATTGCTTGTTCTCACTGAAATTCATCGCACAGTTTATGACACCCGAGTGTGTTGAAGAAGATGAAGAAAATATTCTCAGTCCTTGAAATGGATTGGATATTGGATATTGTGAGAAAATACATTCTTGTTCACATGAACCAACTATTTCTCACAAAGTCTTGCTATAGGGAAAACACAAAACAACTGTTGTAGTGGATTATGTAACACCGATATATTAGCATTCTTTATGTGTTATATGAAACTTATTCGTGCAATAACAGTTTGGTGTGAACTCAGACGTATGTTGCTGTTACGCCTGAACCCAAGTATATAATGCAGGTCTTCATAGTAGCTACACACACACTCATATTCAGAAAATGCTTTGCTCAAAAACATACAAAGCCACATTCAAGAGTATCCCCTACCGGTACTAACAAGTTTCATAGTTTGAAGACACCCGACATTCAGATCACACACACACAAACCAATACGAAATGCTGCTATACAATTTCACTGTAGACGAATACCAGTCCACATTTCATTGAGAAATGGTTCATTACACTGAGGCAAAAACTCTCATGACTTTACTGTCCACGCTGGTGATTCAGTCAACCTATTTTCAGTTATTTGAATTCCAACTGTCCCAAAGAAACTATGTCTTCGAGAATCAGTGTCATTCTCCGTCAGACATTTAAACTAAGTGAATCTGAATAATCGGAAATTAATTAAGTTGAACATGCATGAATAACAAACGCGAATGATATGAAATTTAGTCGACGAACAAAGGTTATATTAGTCATTCTCCTGAGCCTAAGATAGAAGATGGTAACTAGAGATAGTAACACCCAACATTTCATTGACGAATACATCCCAGTCCCGTTTTCACCAACATAATCCTATGTAAACAACGCCTTGTGAATAAAGTCTTTCCTCTACTTTTCTTGTGAGATGAGTGAAAACACTCTCGCTTAATTTGTCGTTCACTTTCAAGGAACACGAATAATTCTACTGTTAGAATCTGTCATGTGATTTCTCCTAATTGTTGATGAGGTTGTGTTCTCTGATCTGGATAGTTAATTTGCGAAGCTTCCATCATCCTACTAGGTGACATCTTCAGCGCATACTTCAATTTGAAGTGAGCTTTTAGATTTCTCCACGAGTTTACTAATCATCTCTCGCGGTGACCTTGGACGCGATTAGTTGTTTTTGTGTGTTTCCACACTTCCTAGGCTACTTGTATTGGAACTGATTGTTTCTTTGACTTGAACTTTGACCCTTTGTGTGTGACGTTTCTTTCTTATCGGTTGATAAATTTTGTCTATCTCGATGTGTCCATTGGTTGATGATTCACTGGAATGCCAAGCTTCTAAAAATTCTCTAGCATTTTTTGTTGTTTCCTCTGTCTAATATTTGAAAGTTGTCCCAGTCGAAATGATGCCCGTGTTTTTCTGTATGTAGTGATATGGCGGAGTGGATGTCATGTCTTTTGACGGCTAGCTTATGTTCATGGATACGAAGACGGAGGGGACGTCCACTTTGGCTAGTGTAGTGTTTTTCACAGTCGATGCAATCTGTTTTGTAGATGATTTCGGTTTTATCTTCCTTCGCTATCGAGTCTTTTGGCTGGCATAGAACTGAGTGAAGTGATTTTGTTGGTTTGCGTGCGACGTCAATTCTTAAAGGTTTGGCGAGTCTTGCAGTGATTTCTGATTTATCTTTTATATATGTCAGGGTGACTTTCTTTGTGGTTTCCTTGGGGGCCTTTGGTTTGATAGGTTGGCTTGGAAGGATATATCTTTTGGTGAAATCCCGTGGATATCCATTCTTTTGGAAGAAGTCCATGAGATATCTTTCTTCAATTTTCCCTAAGGTGGAAGTGCTGCAATGAGTCCTGGCTCTCTTGAATAATGTTTGTATGCGATTCCTCTTGTGTGCTATTAGATTGTTGCTGTTGTAATTCAGTATTTGATCCGTGTGATTTGATTTTACATAAACATGGGTTTCTAATTCCCCTGTCGCTGTGCGCTTGACTAAGACGTTTATTAGTTTGTGAGTTTTTTCTTACTCGTTTCGTTTGATTATTACAAATGTGTCGTTCACGTAACGCATCCAAATCTTGGGTTTGATATTTGTTAGGATTATGTTTTCGAACCTTTGCATCACTGCTTCTGCAATCGAATCCAATATTGGCGACCCCATAGGTGTTCCTTTGACTTGTTCATATATTTGGCCGTTGAATTGGAAGTACGTTGTTAGGCATAGGTTTATGCATTCCATCCAGCTTGTGTGTTGCATGTTTGATTGTTGTTGGAGGTGTTCGTCGTTGCTGAGCAATTGTTCCATGGTGTCGTTTGCTAGTTTTTGTCCGACTGAGGTCACCGGGAGAGATGATTAATAAACTCGTGGGGATATCTAAAAGCTCACTTCAAATTGAAGTATGCGCTGAAGATGTCACCTAGTAGGATGATGAAAGCTTCACAAATTAACTATCCAGCTCACAGAACAATACCACATCAAAATCATCCACCTGAGCCTCAAATCTTCTCCATCATATCTAAATCTTACGAGCGGAACACGCTTCTCTCTGTTCTTAAGTAGGAAGACTTCGCTAAATGGCAAGGATCCACCACAGAACAATTATTCTTTCTCCATGAGTGCTTCGCCACTAGCTTGAAGCCCTATGTCCCACTGAGGAACGTGAAGGAAAAAAACTGTTACAATAAACCAGCCAACAGCATGACGTTCGACGAACATTCGGAATGAAATGTCAATGACTTTATTATGAGCTGAAGATGGCTTTAACTAGCATTCAACGCCATTTCCTCGAATAGTAGTTACACGACATGTGATCACTTGAGCATTCAATAATTACGTGGATAAGAACATAGGACGGAAAAATAAAGGCGTTTTTGCTAGTAGTTGTACCAACTAGAAGTGATGAAGAGAAGCCAAGTGAAGTTCTGACAGTGTAGCTGTGAGTTAGACACGGAATACATGGACCATTGATAGGCGTTCAGACAGCGCCGACTAACTAATAGTGTGCTGAGATAAGTTTCATTTTAATGCAAAAAGCAAACTCTCAAAGCATGTACTCACTCAGACAGTCATAAGTTATTTCTTTCAAAAGAGTGTATTTCAGTGGATAATAAAAATATTTTGAAATTTCATTTTAATAAAGTAGAAATCAATAAAACTCCGATACACAAAAGGGTTAGTGGCAATCTTCATTCACTTTCTCCAGTTTGTTCATGTTCTCAAAATTTTAGTTGGGCAGAAACCTGGACCGTTGACTGGATGAGCTTCTATGTTGTTACTGAAATAAATCGTCAAACAATTACAAAGTAATTTGTAATCAGCTTTGTTATTTCACACATCGAATAACTATTACTGGTAGTCAATGAGAATGCGTTAAAAATGTAGTGCTTCTGTTTAATTGTTATGTTTTGTGTGCGAACGTCAGTTCACCTACTGTTTTGGAGCCAGATACATTGGTTATTCAACGCGTCACCTGCCTGAAAAGGTTCAAGAACACTATCCCTCTCAGGGTTGCATATATGTAGTAGTTCTTCCTTGAGAAGTACAATAATCGAACATCTATCGAGCATCGGCAGTTTCATCTCAACAAATGCCACCTTCAAAATAGTCTAAGAAGTGAAGGACAACCTATCAAGGGCAAAACGCTATCTTCTCCTTTCCATTGCTAAAGCCATAGCCATTCATTTAGAAAAACCGGAGATATGTGTACAAAAGGAAGTTACTCAATCATATCTAATATCATGGCAACAACCGTGTTAATTTCTACTCACTTGATTTTGGTTTGTTTGCTTCTCTTACCCTGTATAACTCTCGTATGTCTTTGAAACTCATCCGTAACTCGGTATTTTCCTTCGTCTCTTTGTGCATCCTGAACAGTTAATTCATCTTATTACATAACCCTGACAAACACATTCAACTCATATGCAGTGGCAAATATTGGCAACTATTTTTGTGATAACGCATCTTTCTTGCTAATTCCATTTAGGGATAAAAAATGTATATAAATGCGATTTTACAGCTAACCCGGAGAATGATTTCACCGAAAGGAGGCTCTTTGCTGAACTGTGTGTTTTGTCTTCAAATTGTTATTTATCGAGTTAGGTGATTTGCTGACAGTTTCAGACACAAAACCAGCAAATTAATCACCAGGGTTAAATTACAGCCTTCACTAGCACCTACACAAAATTCATCATGTGCAGTGAAGTCCTCTAAGATGTTCAATACATCCAAGGATGTGGAATCGTTTAGTGGACTTCACTTTACAATGAACTAATCTAAAAAATTTTAAAATTTGACATTCTACTTAACCATGCATTATTCAAATAAACGCGACTGGATAAATCTTCTAATTTCTGTGCTTGTGCTAATATTATATGCAACAAAAATTAAGTCAGATGAGATTCTCTGTTGGGAACAAAATGGACGTCACATACTTTGCCACGGGGTCAAGAGACGATGAAAACTTCGATTCAGCAGTGAAAGAAGTTGATAAATCTACTAGTGAATATTTCGGAGAAAAGGCCATGGCACAAACATATTGCAGTACAAATTAAAAGTATGTCTAGAAATGTCTATTTACTTCTATCAGCTTTAACGAATTACTTATGGATATAAGAATACAACGACTTACTAGAGCATTCTGCATCGAAGTTCACCAATTCGTTGTGAGAATTCTTCATTAGTATCATGGTCTTGCGACCATAATCTTTCAGCTACAGCAGCACCTCTGGGCCTGCATATGTAAGAGATGAGAGAAGATACTTCATTGTAGTATATAAAGCAAGAAAAATAAAGTCACACTAAATATTTTTATCAGGCTCTTCAAAAATCAGTCCGTCATAAACTGGATATCTCCCTGCATCATTTCTTGTATGAGTCTCGCCTTCGTAGTATAAATGAAGGCGTATCAATCGATATCTGTCCAGCTCTGCCATTCGTTGATGAAAAGATGTAAGGCTAAGAGAGACCAGCGTCAACCTAGTCTGAAAATTCAGTAATGGTCACTTGATATCGAAATCAGTAGGACCATCAGCTCCATCCTTAGTGGTTAACATTCAGAAATAGAATCCTACTAATGACCTTCAACCCCATTTTTAGCGGTCAACATTCAAAAATAGTGACTGCCAAAATAGACGATACGTTGAAAACAGTCATAGGAGTACTGTAAATCACAATTCATCTTTATAATATTTGTTTGATGATTGGCTAACAATGCAGTCACATCGATCTGTCCATTCTGTTCCATCTGAACCTGAAGGGATGTTATTGAATGCTCATATTCTAGCAGACACTCAGCGTTGAGTTACTTTGTCATTTTCTGCTTCAAGGGACATTTTCACTAAGTTGTCTTGTCGACTCCAAAAATCTTTATATACACTTCATTTCCACCCAACACAACTAAAACCATTTTGTTAAGTGGTCAAAAGCTGATTGCACCAGAAGTACAATGTGGGATTTACAAAGGGTACTTACCATGCTAGAGTGATCACATTGGTCTCATCCACACTTGTGCCCCACAGTGTAGCTTCACCACCAATGACTGATGATGCCTCCTCGTCTGAGCCTGTAAAAGACATGATAATTATTATTATCATCACAGGAAGATGATAGACTGAGTGACAATCAGTGTAATTCACAAATTCAGATACGCCGAGTTCACTGGTGAATGAGACATTTTGCAGTTCAGATGGTTAAATATGTTAAGGTTTGATGTGTCACTGTCTTCTGAATGAGAGGAGTTGGCACTACCAATGAAGTTAGACACTGAGTGCTGATTAAGAAATGGTAAGTTAAATGACTAACTAAGGGTGCGCCATATTTGAGGCGTCGGAAAAGCTAGACTGAGCTTCATAGCTCTGAAATGAGTTTCGAAGTTTGATGCACTATACATAAAGAAAAAATTTGGATTTTCGACACAAATAATAAGTCCGTCGCTACTTATATATGGGCGTCACTAGAAGCATTTCCAACAAGCTGCAGACTTTTGTCAACAGCTGCCCTCTCTGGCTCAATAACGAAGATCAAGTGACCGAAGGACGAGATACAATTAGCAACAAGAAAATCTGTGAACGAACCAATCATTAATCTATTGCACAACAAATATGTAGGAGAAAATGGACATGAATACGTCACATGCTGAGTAGACCATCAGGTGAAATTTCATATTTGGCCATCTCAGTTTCATCCGTATGAACTAGGCAATATGCTACCCTAATACATATTCATTTGCATGGAAAATACCAACAGTAAACAAACACATCATCTCTTATCTTTGCTCCAATTACAATATCTACACTTTGTCTCAATTCTAAACATAACGTTCTGTCAACCCATCGTCCAAACAGTATTTGGAAGCGAGATCAAGATGAAGTTTGCATCCACATTCGTGCACAAAATTCATGCATTAACTACAGGTTTTGTAGTCCAGCGAATGATTCGCATTCCAAGACCGTTGGTACGAACTCACTTCATAATGTTGGCCTTTTTCTCATTGCTACTGCTAGTCGTCACTTTCAAAATCAAATAGGTGCTGTCGCATAAGCAGCAGATCATAAGGTTAAAAGTGTTATGGTCTCACATTTTTACAGTAGTAGTCTAACTGAGTAACTGATAAATTCTTCTACCGCATGAAATGTCTCATAAATAGACGTGAGATTTGTGTCGAAGGTGGAAGAAACTAAAACTATATGAGACTGTCAAGAAAAATTCGGACTGGACTCACAAGAATAGAAGAAACGCTACCCTCAAAGTACATTCCATGCCTAATTAGTATGTAACACCTAAATCGATCTCAAATAGGCACACAGCAGCCAAACCGGAATGGATAAATCAAACCATAAGTTCCCGGTCAGGATAATGATGATAATGCAATCAAATAATCTGGAAGACCAAACTCATGCAACCGATATATTTGGTTATTTCTTAACTTAACCCTCCGAGGTACGTGGTATTTATAAATGAAGTATTAATCAATAATGCGGGCGAATTGTTGATGCAGAGTATCTCATCTTTTCGTCTTCATTTACGTGGGTTCTGACAATCACAAGTAATTGACGAATCAATACTGGTGGCGAGCTAACTAATCGTCAGTCCTACTACTGACGCTACCATAAAATAATTAATCAATTTCCTTTCTTTTACCCCAAGTACTGGTTGAAATTACGGAGCTACCGGTAGGCATGTAGTTACAAAGTGGCAATTATTCAGGATTATTTTGATTCTGGTGCCATGAAATTCAGACCATCTATGTTTTGGTCTAACATAATTTCGAGCACTCCTTCTCAGGTTCACATGTTTTGTTGCATGTGAGATAGAACTCTGAGTTCACATTTGTGACGTATTCATCATCGAGGTGCATGCATACTCCATCAGATCTAGATTCGTTACTGAACGATGGCTTTTGAGGATGTGCTTGTTGAGTGTTAATGAACCTGCAATTCAACAAACCAGCTCACATAATGCAACAACATTAAAATCATCCAACTGACCTACATATTCTCTTCATTGTTTTTCAATTACTAAACGTTAGAATCCTGAGTTTTTACCTATATGACCGATTACTGTGTAATTTCAGATTATCAACCGACCAATTCACATTGATAGATTACAAATAAGCTCGAAATTAATCAAATCCAATAGACAGTGTCAACACGTAAGTTTGCTTAATGACACTATTCCTGTCAAACCATGCGGTAAGTCAACTAACCTTCAAATTCTCTGATATCCTGTTCGTAGTATTTTATCCAATCATATTCGTTATGTAGATCAGTTAAATCCCAATCACCAGAAACTATGACGTTTAAATTTTTTCCGGTAGCAATTTTAGTATTTCCTTTCCATTCGAAGCTTTGCCAAACATGAATGACTGTGTTTTCGTCACCCTATTAGACGGAATCAAACATTTATGCAATTACTGGTTGTTTGTTGAACGAATACAAATGTCTTTTAATGAGAGAAATTTACGATCAGATGGTAATCTAGAAAGTGAGAGACACCTTATTCTTAGGGTGAGAGATTTCAATTATACAGTGGTTATAATGAGGAATGCCATAGCTACCTGAGATGTCCAAAGCCTTTCTTTGAGGAGGTGTTAAGTATTTGTCTATCGTTAATGGAAAAATACAGAGTTGGCTCTTTTTCCGACAATTAACTTGCCATTGCTATATTTTGACCTCTAGGATCTTCGAATTTCTTGAGACAGTATGTCATAGATATATTAATCACCTCAGGGTAACCAATGTCTTACGTCTGATACTTGGGGTAGGCGCTGAGTTCTAATAATCAGGATTGAAGTGTGATCGCCAGGCTAGATGAAGACTTATAAAATGAGCAATGGGAACTTGGCTTTCTTCGATGAGCAAATAAAGCTAGGCAGAAAACTTGTCATTCTTGACGCTAATGTCTTCAGGAAATTAGCACACTTTAACAGCTACCCTAACTCCAGGTCAGTCATTTCCACGTTATGTTATAGCAGATTGGACAAACTGCTTCGTTAATGCAAGTGACAGTCGAATCAATACATCGTAGCATTTCTATACGTTTAAAATGAAGTTTAAGTGGGACACTCCTAACTAATAGTTGGTTTCAAGAATCCTCTAGAACCATAAAATAGGCTGTTACACGGCATTTCCTTATTATAGCTTGATTCCATACACTATTTTGGCACAACTATAGCCTTTTCAGCACGAGTTATCCACTGGTATCCGTAATGTGGCAGGTTAACCATTGACATCAAGCTGTGATTCAAACTTGTCCTCGTGCGTGGTCGGCGAGCGTCCTGACCACTGTGCCACCGACGCACAATGGCTGAGACGAAATAAATAGCTTTTCCGTATTATTTATTGTAGTGAAGAATGTGAAGCGTACTTCATCTTCTTTGGGACTCGTCGACTCCATGCATATCATTACCAGTGAGACTGAGACTAGGGCTTAAATGTAATAGAAAACCAGCCGAAGTGTTGCAGCAAGTAGGAAATCCACAATTGTTCAATAGATGAAACTGTCTCTGGTAGCCTTCTGATTAATTTTCCACAATGGGACCAAATAACTCAATTCAGTGAGTGTAATGGGAAGATTCTAAGATCAAGCACAAAGATTGATCTGTTCTGTTTGGGTCAACCGTGTTTACAGAACATGAGAATTTAACCTGATTTATCATACTTAAGCCCTTTGTATAACTTTCTCGGGAACTGGTCTTGACGCGCTTTTCGATTTGTAAGCTACATTTGCCCAGTTACATAAAACTCTTATTTCTGTGCAGTTTCTTGCCAAGAAGTTGTAGAACTTATTGTAATTATTTTTACATTTCGAACACTAAATCTGTGGATATAATCTTGTTGACCAACAATACCTAAAACTATCTGCTTGCCATTTTGTAACTGTCTAACACTAACTAATATCTATAACTGTAAATATTGATGGATTTACATGTCTAAGTTGGTCAAGTCAGTAAGTCTTTGATTTTAGTATCATTTTCATTAACTGTATCTGACTGTGATAATACTGCTGAGTTAATTTTTTTCTTTTATTGTTGTTGTTGCTGCCCTTCATGTTGCGAATTATTTTTCCTGTGCTGGTGTTGTTCTGATTGCTTTATTCCTTGTTTTCCTGGTTTTAAGGGGAGCAACCCACAAGGTCGCTCCTCTGTAAACTATATTCTTATGTAACAATCCCTTTCTTTGGCGTGAGGCTAGCAACCCCACTCCGTAAACAAAGTTGCTACAGAAACTTCAGCAAGATAAATATCCTTGCTCCAAAAGAAAAAGTCTGTGTGGGGAAATGGAACGTACGCATCATTTACGAGATCGGAAAAGCTGCCCAGATTGCAAACAAGATGATAAATTACGGGATCCAGGTACTGTGAATATGTGAAAGCAGGTGGATTGGGAATGGACCCACCCAATTGTCAACGAGAGAGTCAGTGATCTTTTTCGGTCACCCAGAAGACAACCACACGCACACCGAGGGCGTGACTATCATGATGTCACCAATAACGAAGAAAGCCCTGATGCAATGAAAGGCGATCTCCCCAGGATAATGACCACCAGATTCAACTCCAAAGGAAGGAAATTGTCAGTTATACAATGCTATGCACGCACAAACAACGCAGATCTCGAAAAGAAAGAAGAGTTCTACAGACAACTACAGGCAACAATGGACAATACTCCAGCTGGTGACATTAAAATGCTAATGGGAGACATGAACGCCAAACTGGGACCAGACAACACAGGAAGAGAACCCATCATCGGTGGAGAAGCTCTCGGAGAAATGGATGAAAATGCAGAACTCTTCGCCGACTTCTGCGTCTTCAACGAACTAGTGATTGGTGGCAGCGTATACAAAGGATATCCACAAGGCTACATGGGTGTCATCATATGGGCGAACCAACAACCAAATTGGCTTCATTTCAATACTGCTCAAGAACGTAGAGACGCAGCTTACCGGACACAGCAGTAAGGAGAGGAGCAAACGTTGTCTCAGACCACTATCTCGCGCAAGGAACACTCCAAATCAAATTAAAAGCTTTCAGACAAACAGGAGCTGCAGACAGACCACAAGCGAAGCTCAATACTCAAAAATTGAAGGATCATGACAAGAAGGACATCTTCACTGCAAAGATAAGGAAAAAGGAGGGGAGACGAATCAACAATAGCGTAGAGACCAGCATTGAAAAACACTGGGACAACCTGAAAGCGGTGTGGAGTCAAACATACGTGAAAGTTCAGGGCAGAAAGAAGACACAGGAAAAACAGTGGCTCACCACCGAGACATGGAGACTAATAGAAGAGAGAAGGATGGTGAAACAGAAGATCATCCAGTTCACCGACGAACAACAAAAACACGATTTGAATGCAAGTTACCAGACACTGAACAAAAGAGTAAAGAAGAGTGCCAGGGAGGACAAAAGAAAATATTATGAAGCCATGTCAAGTGAGGCGGAACAAGCTGCTGGCAAAGGAGATCTCGCAACACTCTATCAAACAACTAGGTACCTATCAGGCAAAAGTATGACACAAATTAAGCCGGTGAAGGATGACAATGGAAAGTCAATCATCAAAGAGGTGGGGAAAGGAAACACTGGGCTGAACACTTAAAAAGACTTCTAAATCGACCGCCACCTACAACGCGCCCAATAATACCAACGACGGAGAAAGAGCTACCAGTGAACACCAACCCCCCGACGAAATCAGAAGTCCTGAAGGCAATCAAGATGCTGAAAGCTGGAAAAGCAGCAGAACGAGATGGAATCCCAGCAGAAGCATTGAAAATGGACCCAGAGACAACAGTGTACTTGATGACACTACTACTGGAGAAGGTGTTGAAAGAGGGCAAGATACCCGAGGATTGGGAGAAAGGATACTTAAGTCAGTGCAAGAACTGGCGCGGAATTATGCTCCTGTACATCCCAAGCAAAATACTAAGCTGCATCATCCTGGAGAGAATCAAACATGCCCTGGATTTAAAACTTCGGCCAGAACATGCTAGGTTCAGGAGAAACAAGTCATGTATCGATCAAATCTTCACACTACGGATCATCATTGAACAAAGCTTGGAATGGCATTCACCTCTCTATCTCAACTTCATCGACTTTGAAAGGTCTTCGACAGCGAAGATCGCATGGTGATTTGGTAACTACTTCGCGTCCTAGGAGTGTCACCAACAATTATACATCTCATCCAACCGTTGTACGACAATGCTGCATGCAAAGTAATCCACAATGGGAAACTCAAGGAATCCTTCAAAGTAAAGACGGGAGTAAGACATTGCTGCCTACTATCGCCAAAGATTTTCCTGACGTCGGTAGATAGGATAATGTGGCAGAGAGCGGGCAGGGAGGAAACAGGCATATAATGAACCTGTACAAAAACTTGGAGGATCTGGACTTCGCCAATGATTAATGTCTGATTTCCCACAAACCAGAAGATATGCAAGTGAAAAGCAACATATAGGTGATAGAAACAGCATTAAAAATGGGACTCCAAGTAAATATAGAGAAAACAGAGGTGATGAAGAATCCTGGGCAACACCAACAACAACAGAAAACAATCAGCGTAAATGGGAGGAACCTGAAAGAAACAATCTCCTTTACCTACCTAGTAAGCATCATTTCAACTACAGGCGGAACTTAGGAGGATATCAAAGCAAGACAAGTTTTCACTACTATCAAGCCTGTGTGGAGGTCAACAGCACTCAGCATCAAAAATAAGATCCGGATTTTCAACTACACTCTGAAGTCAGTGCCACTATACGGATCAGAGACTTGGCGCGTCATAAAGAGCAGACCTTCATTAACAGCTGTCTTCGCTCAATACTTAAGATCAGATGGCCAGAAAAGATCAGCAACAGAAATCAGCGAACCAACCAGGAACCGATTGTGAAACAAATAGGCAGGAAGAAATGGAGATGGATTGGCCATACTCTTAGGAAGCCATCAAGTGACATCACTAGACAAGCCATTGCTCGAGTGGAACTCGAAAGGGAAGCGGCGAGTTGGTCGTCAGTGCAAGGGTGACTTGGAGGAGGTCATGTGAAGAGGAGATGAAATTATGTGAGCAGAAGTGGAGCCAGGTGAAAACTTTAGCATGGAAACAAACGCTATGAAGACGTGAAGCTGAAGCCCTATGTTCCTCTAGGAATTACAAAAAATAACAATAATAACAGAACTTTCTCGAGAAAATATCAGTTCACATGTTGTTTCACCAACACAAAGTGAAGCCAGAACTTTCTCCTTGC